ATATTTCAGCCTCCTTCCGCTTCGTTTAACACTTATTACTATCCAAACTAAATATGGTTGAGTTTTTTTTCCATCTAAACAAATTCGAATTGCTAACTCATACAGTAAGCCGCAAGCAAGTAATCAATCCTACAGGGTCAGGAAATGATTAAGACATTTTAATCACCAAGTGTCCTTGAAAGGAATTTCGATAAAACTTCAAATGTTGCGCTAAATATCGAAAATACGTCATTGAAGACTGGACTGACCATCAAAACTGATGAGCTGCTCAGGTATAGAGGGGAAAATAGAAACCAGGTGATCCTTTGTTATTATATTATGTTGTCGAATCGAACGATTATTAGTGCATTGGAATGAATTTCAGCAAAATAAACATACAGCTCAAGGGATATCATTACTAATTTAATCACTCCGATGATGTTTGGCTATCCCTAAGCAAGACTGAAAATTGGAGCTGTTTTTTACGTTTGCTTTCATGTGGAGAAAAATCTTAACAGGTCGAGAAATGACGACTTTAAAATTGAAATTTCTATCAAAACCAAGTGTTGGCCAACCATAACTAAATAAGCCTAAGTGTGGTACGAAATAATGCCGTTTCTCGTTATTTCGATTCCTTCAACAAATGCTAAATCTTTTACCGGGATCGATCTAATACTTAACAAAATTTGGCAAGCTCTACAAGATGGTCCTACATCAACATAAATACCACATGCCTGCGAAAGTCTAGCTGTAAATTAATGCCTTTGTATGCGCAATAGTCTTGGGAAAATTTTTGGCAAGAAATTTTCGAATTGGAGGCAAATGCGTATTTTCTCTACTTTTATTTCGCTTTGAATAAAAAATGCTAGCGCTTGTATGTTTGCATATCTTCACCCAACAATGACCACGTACGCTGGATTTTTGTTGTAGTTCAATTTCTCTTTTGTTATAGGTTTTTCTCATTGGCCTCAAAATTTGGATTTGGTACAATTTATATGAATTGTGGTGCATTGCACCTTGGAGAAAATGCTGTGCTATATAAATACTACTCAGTTCTGAGGGAAAATAAATTTTGCAAGATTTTGCTGAAGTAGGCTGGATTTGTAAGACAACATGACAGTTCAGCTCATAAATAAAGATCACGCTTCCTTGAAGGAATCTTCCCATCAAAATGCTTGAAGGTTAGCTGAGAGGATGTTAGCTGAGCAGAATTAAGAAAGTCACACAAGTTCTATACCGAAGATGAATTGTAAAAGTACAGGTACCTGAAACAATGATAGACATTTATGACCAGGTAAGCCTCTTCTAGAGATCAGTCATTGGAGGTGCTGAACTAAAAAGAACACTTAACCAAGATTTGGCCCCAACATATGAAAAATCAGAAAATGAGCAGGAGTGGAATACCCACAATCTTCTAACATGAACATTATTTCTCTTGCATATCTATCTATCGCAATTTTCACACATCCATACTGAATATCAAAAGATTGGTGCAGTTATCGCGAACCATCTTCTTTCATGGGACAAGATAAAAATGAAAATTTATTGAATTCCAATACACCGAAGAGCAAATTAATTCTATTTTGACATAATACTTCAACAAATGAACTTGGGTGCTCGAAAATTAGCCTATTTTGGATAAGCGGCGCCTCCAGAATAGAAGACCATTGAGCAGAAGAAATCGGTCGAAGGACACCATGGAGCATATGGGTACTTATCCTTTAACACATTCAAATCATCGCAAAATCTAAACAAAGGCCCGTAGGCATTCGAATGTCGGCTCAGTCTTATGTTCACTTACGTCTTATCGCAAACTGTATAGTGTGCTCGCTTTTGTCCATAACAAAAGTCATGTCTTCTACAAGCTGCATTCACTTCTTCTAAAATTTACAGTGAAAAAGTCAGAATATGAAGAACATTATAAAGTTCAGCTATGGTTCGATATTGATCGCATGCTCATTTTCAGTTGGCACATCAGCCCCGCAAGCGTCTCGCGCGGCATTCGCGACATCTCTTTAGGAAGTCGGATCTGCCTTGTCGATTGAAAAGCAGCACGCCGTTGCGTCGCCGTCACTCTTTGCAAAACGACACTGCAGTTGAGACAGAGTCTGCATAACTATAATACAATGGTCTTTAATTTTATGTTTTAGCTATATTCCAATTCTTTACTCTTTTTTGTTCAAGATAAGATATCATCGGGAAATAAACAATGCCTATAGAAGGAGGATTTTGGCGTGCGATTCGCTGAAGCCGTGTGCGGACCGCCCACTTCAGTGTGCCGCCCGCCCCATGACCATTCAATTAGCTTGACGCGTTTCACATGGCGAACACAATTAAATGCATACTTTCCAACATGTTCAGGCATGCTTTCGATGAGGCTGACACCAACGGGTGCACTATTTTTGAAAAATAGTCTCAAAAAAGGGTTTTCGACATGACAATTTTCAATTCCATATCTCCACAAAAAGGCTGGAACAAATGGAGGGGTCAAGAGCCTATCCATATATAGTCTTTGCCTTTGAAATAAAAAATTTGGGCAGAAGTTTTGCAGATCTTAGCGCTAAAATTACGCATCGGAATTTCACTCATCAACCATTTTTGCGCAAAAATGTTCTGTAATTGCTCTTGCAATAACTTTTGAAGGCCAAAACACGTCAATTCCACAATTCCAATCCTTTTCTCCATACATTTTTAGCTCGATGAATTTTTCCTCCAAGAATTTCTAAAAAATCCTGCATTTAGTTTCGGAGAATGCAAGATGCAGCTGTTTACCATAAACTTATGCAAGGTTTCTTGTACCCAGTTTTTGCTCTTGGTAAATGCGCTTGGTACCCAGTTTTTCACAGTATTGTAAGCATTAACAACAGCTTTTTTCAGAGCATTCCAAGCACTCACGAACCAATCGAATAGACCTGCCTACAAGAAAAATATTCAGTTTTATCTAGCGGAAAACTTCAATTCTGTTTTGGGGAATACAATTGGAATTCTTAGCAGTTTGGAAACTTAATCAGAGATTTTGCTTTGTCATATGAAAAACATCTTCCACCATTGCCAAGCCTCTGGGTCCTTTATCGCAACTCACACAATCCAACTTGAAGTGCAAGTATCATAACTTATAATAACGGGCTAAGGGTGTTTACGCGCGCGCGCGCGCGCGCGCGCGCGCGTGTGTGTGTGTGTGTGTGTGTGTGTGTGTGTGTGTGTGTGTGTGTGTGTGTGTGTGTGTGTGTGTGTGTGTGTGTGTGTGTGTGTGTGTGTGTGTGTGTGTGTGTGTGTGTGTGTGTGTGTGTGTGTGTGTGTGTGTGTGTGTGTGTGTGTGTGTGTGTGTGTGTGTGTGTGTGTGTGTGTGTGTGTGTGTGTGTGTGTGTGTGTGTGTGTGTGTGTGTGTGTGTGTGTGTGTGTGTGTGTGTGTGTGTGTGTGTGTGTGTGTGTGTGTGTGTGTGTGTGTGTGTGTGTGTGTGTGTGTGTGTGTGTGTGTGTGTGTGTGTGTGTGTGTGTGTGTGTGTGTGTGTGTGTGTGTGTGTGTGTGTGTGTGTGTGTGTGTGTGTGTGTGTGTGTGTGTGTGTGTGTGTGTGTGTGTGTGTGTGTGTGTGTGTGTGTGTGTGTGTGTGTGTGTGTGTGTGTGTGTGTGTGTGTGTGTGTGTGTGTGTGTGTGTGTGTGTGTGTGTGTGTGTGTGTGTGTGTGTGTGTGTGTGTGTGTGTGTGTGTGTGTGTGTGTGTGTGTGTGTGTGTGTGTGTGTGTCACGAAATTCGTAGAGCGTGTTCCAGCCAACGTCCTGAGCCCAAATTTTGCATAGCGCATGCTACCAGCATGAAAGCTCACTATACAAAAGCATGAGCGGATCCGTTGAGTGGATCCATTGAAAATTGCGCGTCAAACGGATCAACCTGGCTTCTGGCCAGCAAATTTGGGTCTGTAGTACTACTTTTTGCAGAGTAAAGGATATATTTGACAAGCTAATGTGCAAGCCATGGACGTTAGCCTAAAAAAGTGATGAAAAGTCTACTACTTTACGAAAACAGCGCCAAAAAGCATTCGCTGCGCAAACGGTCAATTTTCCAAAATTCTACCTGATCATTTGAGAAGAATTTTGCACAGAGGTGTAGCCCACTATGTCTATTGCCCTTACGGCGACTACCAAGCCATAAAAATTCCAAAATCCCATTCGAATTTGCATCTGTTCTTCTGGGAAAGATTTTATCCACGCGAAAATACCGATCTCACATGGAAGACCTCTACGAATGAGTAGTTGTTTACGAATTATTCGTGATAGCCTACATAGCGCGGTGAGTTTCAATGTCATTATCATGCGGGAATGAGTAAGGCATACAGAAAATAGGGCCAGTGCGAGCCTCTGCGAAGCAGAGGTGACGCACTGGTGAGAAATATGATGTGTAGACAGTACATGGTAACTAAAGCACGTCCAGATGATAAGAAAATAGAGAGAAAATGAAGATTACCCTCTAACCGCTCTCGTTTCAACCCTCTAGGCTTATCGCTATTTAACAACAAAAGCTCAATCAACAGATTCATTCGAGTCATGGCTTCAGGTAGATCGGAGTGTTTTCTTTACTTCCTTCATTTTAGTGAAGCCAAATTCTTCCACAGTGGAAAATTGTCCGTAATAAGCAAATCCAAACTGTTCTAATTTTACATATCTGCAAGGTGACTTAAAATGAGGTGCTCCATGACGTAAGGAGACAAAATCAAATCTCCAAATGACTCAAAAGTTACGACTCATAGGCTTCAAAGCCGCACCGCAAATTTTGTTTGTCACGATACAAAATGGTTATGCTAAACTCCTGTCGCCTATCTGTCTGCTATCATATCGCTCAATACTTGTAATGTATTCAGTGGGATTCTTTTGGTGGTGTTGTGCTGCGCTGTTCACATCGAGCTTCATGATGAGATGCGTCAATTATCTAAGGATGTTTGAGTATTCGCTGGAAGACAGCTTCGACGAGATAGTTCACAATATTGAGAGAGTGAGTCTTTATATAAGCATGCCACGATTGTACTACTTTGCTTTTCGCTACTACCAATAAACCTGTGCTGGTCTCGCGCTCGTTAGCCAAAACACATGGCTTTCGGTAGGTCGGTATGTTTTCTTTTGTTTCCCTGATTCTAGTAATGATTACTTCAAAGTGAAAATCTACAGCAAAAGCAAATCTAAGTGCTAAGTTTTCTTCATGCTTCTGCGATTGATATGGAATGGGCTACTTGAAGTAAGGTTAAATCTCCAAATGTGCCTAAACCTTACCACTCATAGGGTCGAAACAGCGAGACCTACAGTAGCTGTTGTGATTTTTACTTGGGAATTCTTAGTGATTATTGTATTTTTTATCAGAAATTAATTATTTTAGCTTTCAGCAGTTTACGTTAATTTGGAAGTTTATAAGGCTAAATAACTTTCAAAAGTTTGGCGACCCGACTATGCGCCGCAGCACCCGTCTCAGTTACGATAATTGAATCTGTAAAATCTACTCCTTGTTGTTAACACTTTTTGATGGTTTCATTGACAACAATCAGCTTATTTTTTGTGCGTCCGTACAGCCAAAAAACTCTAGCCTTCATGTACAAAAGTGTGATAAAAAACAAAAAACCTTGACCTTGCTTTTCGGCATTCTCAAATTTCAAAGAGACAAACAGCTGTAGCTGTGCCCCTGTGCAACTCAACTCTGCAAAATTCGAAAAACCATAAACCAGCAGCAAGCCCTTCGGACAGCAATGAATCACATTGTACTGAATCAGTGTAAGTGTATTTAAAAGCTCAACCACAATCGCTTCGTAATCACTGCCGATTTTTCGTTTTCCAGTGTCTTACTGCAGTGTAAGCAATGTGAGGTTATGAATGTATTCTGTTCAAATAGCAGAAAAATCCCGCTATTCCTTCCCACGGCAGTTTTTATGGAACCAGTGACGCATAAAGCTTACCAAACACTAGATACACCCATCACCTTCCAGCTGTTTGCGTTTAAATTATCTGTATTCCTCATAATTACGATATTCTCCTTGACAACTTGATTTACTTGAGAAAAAATCATTCTCAAAATACAGTTGGTTTTCGTTTATTTTCAAGACAAAGTTCAGAACGCTCCAGTTGAACATCCGAGTATTGAGAATTTTATTTGCAGTTTAATATGCCATAAAACAGCCTTCTTCAGACTTTTACTTTTACTCATTTTTCCCCCTAGCTCAAGAACTATCATCGCTTTCACACGGGTGTTCCTTTTCTGGGTATACATTGTTATATTCTTTGTTGGCAACGTTTATTTCGCTTTTTTCGATCTTCATCATAGTCATCATCCTGAGAAAACGGCCACGGAAACAATTTTCTCTCGAAAAATCGGGACAGGGGACAAATGAGGTAGTAGGCGTATCCCATAGACTCGACCTTCGCGGGCATTTGGTACAGCTCTTACTAGTTAACAAGTATGATTGTGACAGAAGCCTATACGGGGAGCAGGGGGGGGGGTGCTATTTGACCTGAAAATCCACTTGAATGTCAACGAGAAATCAATCCGCATATCTGCCAACGGTTCCTTGAATTATTATACTGCTTTATTTGGCAAAAGGTATGATGGAGAGAAAAGAGCCGCAGAATCAAAATTGTAATTATTGATCATTATAATAGTAATAGCGCGTGGAAATGGAATAATGGAATAACGGAGATATGTTGTACGGTGTTACATGAACTTTTCGCCTTGTCACCTGGAAAGCACTATCCATCCAAATGGGAAGTGATAAAATTTTGATGCTATATAATAGTGGGGCCACTGATAAGCTATTGCTCAAATCTCATTACAAAAGATGAATTCCGAAGCGAGAAAATTGCTCGAGAGGATAGAAGCGATTGAGCTAGCCCCGCCTACCGACCTGGATGTCTGAAAATAATAAGTCTAAACTTACGCCTCAACGTATTCAATATTGTTATAGACCGCCCTTCATTATGATCATCAAATTACGACCTTTATCCTCCGTAAAGCACAAGTTAGGGCTTGTTATCTTCAGATCACCCATGTTGATGGGGGAAGCCAGCGTAGACGCTTCTACCTTCTGGAACGATTTTCTCGTTTTGGACTTCATCTTTTGCAACGAGGCTCCACCGACTGCTTGAGCAGAGGCCCCGCTGTCAACTTTCAATTTCAACTTCTCCAAATTTGAAAGTGGAGAGTGTATTCGAAGAATTACAAAAAGACGTGTTTGTAGCCGTCTGCAATTCTTCTTACAAAGGTGAGTTTGATTTCACAATCGCGCAGTTACTACAATTACCAATTATCTGGTCACTTACTATAAAGTTCCGAAGAGCTTTGGTTTCTCTCAATTCATTTCTCTCAAATTCTCTCTGAATTGTATTACGGGCGCTCAAAGTTTAGTTACATGAGCAAATTCTCGCGATAAAGCAGAATCTTCGCTATTTGTAAGTAACAAGCAATGCCAAGATGATACTCTGGTCAATATCGTGCGAAAACATTGTTGGAACGGTTTTGAAATGCATTGCACTGTTACAGCTGTGTCAACGTCCTCTGTTCTCCGTGTACTTCTGGCTGGCTTTTTAGGCGTGGTTTGATGAAGAAAAAGTAGAATTAAATGAAGCATATCCGTCATAGTACATGGGCGACTAACTGGAGTTTATACTGAGAGCAACTTTCCTCTCTTACATTTTAAAAAGCGTTTTGGGTGATGTTCCGCTCCTCTAACTTACCCAAGGGCTCAGTAAATGATCTATTTACGCTAACGTCCACAGTCTTTCAAGACGAATACGTTATGGACAGTTATTTATTGTTTCTTCATTGATATCCATTTCACAGAAACGCTTTCAGGTGCTTACCGGCACATTTACTATCCTCGTATTAGTCTCCTTGGCCTATACACAACCAAGAAAACCTGACAGGTCGTACCATTCATGTGAAGCGGTCTTGGATCGTGGGACTTCAAGTTGTAAAGGAGCAGCGCCGGGTACAAGAGTAGGCATTCATCTTTATGACTCTTAATTTTTAAAAATATGCTTCCAAGTGCTTACACTGGAAAAAGGGGAGAGGGCCTAGAAGTAGTGTCCGGGCAAAAAGTCGATTTTGAGATTTTGTGCTTTTCCGGGCCCGTTCGCTATGGTGAACCCGAAAATACACACTAGAAAGCGCGAAAACGGCGAAAAAGGGCTCTAATGCAGAAATGAAATCAGGAGGTGGGCGAGGTCTTCTTCATTGTAAATTCACGCTTTAAGCTTCCGGAGTAACTTTATCGATTTCGATAGCCACCCTGACATCTCCATCGGCCAAATACGAACGCTTGACTTGAAATCGGAAGCGAGAAGATCGCTCCGGAAGCTGGGAGCGTGAATTCACAGTGGGAAAGACCCCGCCCACCTCCTGATTTTCCTCCTGCATTAGAGCCCTCGCCGTTTTTGCGTTTTCTAGTGGGATTTTCGATTCAGCATAGCGAATAGGCCCGGGTAAGCACAAATCGACTTTTTGCCCAGACACTGCCTTTAAATGTCCTTCGACTATTCCTTCTGAAAACATATGTATTGAAAATTCGGGCATGGAATAAGCGAGGGAAGTAGGATGGAGGAAGAGTGCGCATGGATATTCTTGGCTTGATGTCAACAAACTACCTTTTCATTGAACGGGATTGGCGGCTCAAAGGCAACAGCGCTCGATCTCTCGACACTCTGCGTTCTTCTCGCGAGCGTGCTCTCTGATCATTTTCTAGCCTTGATTAGGCCTCGCGCCCCGCCTTCTGGCCGCCAATCTTGTTGAAGGGTAGCTTCAAATAGAGAGAAAATTTAAGCTTCAAGTTTAGAATTTGAGGTACATTTTGAATGGCAAGAAAATGAAAATGACTTGCTAAAAAACTTCCGTGCGTGATGGCATGGCCTATATGAATTGTGGAATACTGTGCGTAACATAATTAGATTAAATTTCTAAACCTTCTTATATGACCCATAAAATTTCTCCCTTTTTTTCCATGAAAGTCCAAGACCATCACTGATAGGGGAAGTACGTTGAAAAGCAGCTTAAAAAACATGAGTGAGCCTGACCACATATGCGAATGTGCGCCGTTCCAGGATCAATTGACGCCAAATCCATAGTCTCATATCTATTTGTGCATTTCGTGCGCTTTGCGGTCAGCGCGAGGTATAGAAAATAGAAGTTGGCAAAATTGCAAACCACATCTTAAAACAAAGAAGAATGTAAAGGTTTGAATCTTTAATGTATTTATTCCAGTTCTATTACGATAAGGAAATGGACGCCTGCTACCAATACTTCTATGAAGGATGTGGTGGTGGCCAAAACACATTCTACGATTATAGCTCTTGCAGAACAACATGCATTCCAGGTGATTTCAAACCTCAAAGCGTAAGTTGATATGCGCATAGCTTTTGCATATATCTATGCCTTTCTTCATTCATACACAACCACTTTGCCATACGTGAAGTACAATGAAAAAAGTATGCTAGGTTATGCCAAAGATATGTTTTTTCACTAGATTAGACGATAAAATCCACAGAAGAGCAGCCACATGAAGTTTTTGGCGCATTCAGTAGAGCATTGCTTCTTCCCTCTTATAGTTCAATGTGAAGGAAAACCACTGGATGGTCTCCGAAACAGATATTGTCGCTTTTACCTCTGATTGAGTTTCAATTCCATTTTTGACGGTATTCGCGTTAACTGACAATCGTCCACTGGAGCTGTTTGGGCATATTAAAAAGCGGAGACAATCAGTGGGCAATATTTATTTATCAATTTACTTATTACGCGCAAGGCGTGCCATAACTAGAACGAAATAAATGGGGACATAATCAGGAACAGATACAAAACAAAACAAAAAAGATCCAATAACTTATCTCAAGTCCAGTCACCGTTATGGAGGAAATAAGGAATTGAGCGTTTTCAGACTAGCTATAAAATAACCACTCAAATTAATGGCGTAAAGACTCAGTGGAGTCTGTCCCATGCCCCTTGCTTGTGCGGAAGGGCGATCTTAACTATTCAATGTAAGCAAACTGGAAAATAGGGGAAGCGGATATGAAAATCCAGCGCAATCAGTTTCTGGGGAGGAGCAGAATTCCGACAGTATATACAGGCAGTGGCGTACCGCGGGGGGGGGGGGCGCCCCCCCCCCCGAGAATGGGTCGCGAAATTTTTGAAAGTTACCTATATGGGTTATAAAAATGTGCAAACGACTTGTTTATTTTTGTAAATAATTAAAATATTTTTTTAAAATTTTTTAAAAATTCAAATTAGCCTTATAAAAAATTTTTTACGCCACGCCCCCTTTTCCAGATTCAAGGGGTTGGGGATCCGCAAAAGTTTTGAGAAGCACCCCAAAAATTTTTTCGGAGTGCGTGGCTAACGCCACGCACCTTCATTAGAAAAATTTTTTTGTCGCCCCCCCCCCCCCGAGCCGAAATCCTGGGTACGCCACTGTATACAGGGTGTCCCAAAAGTATGTATACACTGTTTGATCGTTGATATCTCTTTTCTCAAGAAGTCTTTTGCCTACCTCTAAGCAGCATTTTGTAGAGCTGGCTTTAGCTTAGCTTTTCAGTATAAAGCGAATCCGGGCCCTACTTCGCTTCAAAAAGCAAACAAACAGCCCGGAAACGTTTATACTAGGCTATTTAAAGCCGCCAAAACCAGCTATAAAGTTTGTGTTGTTTCACAGCGCTTCCTTGAGCTATGCCAGGTAAACTGTGCGCAACAGCTATTTTTTAATGCTCCCTGAAATTGTGATAACATTTTTTGAAAAGCTTTGCGAACTTGTAAAAGGTTGAATAATGAAATCAGCGCCCGTGAAAACTCTGGTGCACCACTTTTCAGATTTTTTGGAAACTTTTTTCAAAACACGATCCCACAATGACGCCGCAAGCTGAAAGTTCCTACCGTAGTCCTACAGTAATGAAGAGGCATTGGCGACTCGCTCCATACTGCAGATCTAATAAGTTGAAGCTAGCTCTACAAAATGGTGTTTAAAGGATGGCAAAAGACTTCCTGGAAAAAGAGATACTAACGATCAAACAGTGTATACATACTTTCAGACACCTGTATAATATCAGCTCAGTTTCTTCAAACCATAGAGAAAAATGTTACGAAATGGAGCAAAAAAGCAACAAAAGTTCAAAGTGCGGTGCAATACGTGAACCAGAAGTTGAACACCCGCAAATCCCAATTTGTTGTTTCAATAATTTTGCCTGCCGTCGCATATGTGAGAAGAAATCGTGTGTAATAGTTGTTTAGAGGCTCCATACTAAATAATAATGCAGAGATAAGCGGAGAAAGAAACGCTCGAGTTTCGCTGATTTTTAGCAAGGTTTATATTTCTGTAATATTCCGAAACGAATTTCTTTTCATGAAGACTCACAGTTTTTGGAAACGATAAAGCAGCACCATTTTTCATAGCATTTCAGATCACAAATTTTTATAGAAACGCTCAATCGACACAAACTATGCTTAATGGAAGAAAATGGGCACACTAAGCTTATAAGCGGGCAATTAATGATTTTCGCAATATTCTACATTTTTGGCGATATTGCACAAAATCACCAAAGCTAGAGTGATCCTATTCCGTTGACCTACAGTCACTACAAAGTCGCTAACCTCTCTTTGCACATATTATTTTTTATTTCCTAATGGAAATAATCATATGTAATCATTGAGACAGATAGAAATGCGGTTTCTCAAAATAAATGCGACTATTGTTTGCAGCTACAGGTATTGTGCGCATTTCGTTAGGAAAGGTTTTGGACCTGATTGGGAAGTTTTAAAAAATTAAAGTGAATTTTGTGTAGCGGACTATCAATTATTTTTCTAGTTTTTGAGAGAAAGATCAAATTTTATGTGAAATTTCATGTTTTCACTAAGTCTTAAACTAATTTCGAACTTTCGTTTGTGGTAAACAGCCCAAAAACAATTTTTGTGAACAATTATCAAAATCTTATGATCTTTCAAAATAATAAACATTTAGCTGACAAGGAAAAGTGTGGGGGAAATGCACCAACTACCGGCACATGTTCGAGGAGAAACGAAAAATGCCCAGCCGGTAGCAAGTGCCATGTGGGAGCGTTTGGAGCGGGAATTTGCTGTGATACCAAAAATGAGGGTAAGAATCACTTTTTATTACAAGAAGCAAGGGAGTTAAGCGCGCTTTACTATCCTTATTTCACTCTCAGAAGAATGGAAGAAAGAAAGACATCCGGTATGCAAAACTGGAAAGCTTGCTATGAAGAAGGAGTGGTATGGTGATGCAATACTTTTGGGAAGAAGCTGTTCACACAAGTACTTCATATTTATTTTTATGATAGACTATTAATGAGCCGTTCACTTTCAGATTCTGCCCGAAAGGTTACCAATGCATCCAGACGAAACGTTTGGCGCACTGTTGCGGTGGACGCTAAGAAAACCGGGGTTAAAATTGAAATGACAATGAAAGAAGATTTTTGAGACCACCTTCTATGAAATGAATAAACTTACGAAAAAGCAGTGCTAGAGCATGAAGCGTCTTTACCAAAGATTCTCATATTGATATTGTGTGTCGCTTGGCAAATATAGGAAAGTGCGGTTTTACGGGTATAAGTCCCTTCGATAGTCTAGAAATAGAGCCTCAAAAGTTCAAATCATTTTGAGGCTCTATTTCTAGACTATCGAAACCCTGTCCACCGGAGCGAAATTGTTTGGGAGTAATCAAAGAAGAGGAAGAGATGTAAATTGAATAAAAAGCGAAGCCCATTGTTGAAAACTGGATGAAGACGCTGCAATAAATAATCTCGAAATTTCTTTTTTGGCGGTATTTCGAGTCGCAGGTTTTCATCTAACTTCGAAGGCGATTACCGAAAAAAGATGAGCAGAAAAATCGTTATAAAAAAGAAGTTATATTTTTCCGAAGCCAAAATGCATAGCTCAAACCCAGCCTAATTTTTCTTGATCGGCGACGCTGCCTGCAATGTTCGGCTCACTTTTCAGAGCAAAACCTTCTGAACATGAAAGAAATGCTTACATACTCACTCCAAAAAATCATGAAGAAAGAGCATTTTTTGCAGCTTTTAACCAGATTAATTGAATGAGAAAGCTTGGCGACAATGCCTATTCTAAAGAGAAAACAAAAACTAAGAAATGCACGAAAAAGGAATTGGAGAGAGCTGAAGAGGGAAATGACGCTTATGGTTGAGATTCTCTCTCCTGAATTCACCTGAATTTTAAAAAGAATGTTAAAGAAGTGTTTAATCAGGTTTAAAATATACGTAGAGTATCAAGTAAGCTACCATGCCTTGTAATAAGCCGCTCAATCTGTGGCTGCGTCGAGTTTGCCCGTTACGAAATTACAATGAGGAATGATTTCCAATACCTCAAAACATGGAGGAGTAGCATAACAAGAGAGGCATTTTTGTTTGGTTTTATTTAGTGGTCACACAACTGAAGAACGATCGAAAACCCGCTTCACTATGTAAGTTTCCCTGACCATCGCATATTGACCAGTGCGAATCTCTGCGAAGCAGAGGTGAGGGCTAATGTTATATAACAGACTGTGTACTGCAATCACATCATCCACCCGCGGGGCGGAACTCCTATTAGGTTGGCTTGAAAGTTCTCGGACATTTTTAGACTAGATCTGCTGTTTCTTGAAATCTAATGCATGTAGATTTGATAGAGATACCATTCGATAGAGAAAAGCAAGCTCTACAAGATGGTATGCAAAAGTTCGTACCAGCTTGCCTCACCGTAAGTTTGCTCTTTATTCTAATGAAGACATTTGTGTAAATTTGCTTCTCGAGCTAGATTACAAATTTTCATACAGAAGTGATTCGATAAGCGAATTGCAGTGATAAGCGTTTTTGAGTTTTTTGCGCAGTTTTGTACGAGTTGTCAAAACATTTCTCAGGGAGAATCGTGTCACAAGGACCCTCTTGCATTTACGAGTTTGTCAATAAGTTGTGGCTGATGTTACAAGTGAGAGAACTCATAATCAATGCTGAATGGTTTATTATCTGTGAATGACTATGACTGAATACATTCACAGATGTGTACGAAAATATTAACCACTGTTCAGTGCTTGGCCATCTTTGCAAACACCACCTTCTTGCGGGCAGCAGCTGCAGAGCGAGGTGGGCAAGGGCAGTAAGCAGCGTCTTGTCCGGGCTGTCCTGGGTTTCGGGCTATCCAGGCTGTCCGTCTGGTCCAGGTTTACCGGGAGCTCCAGGCTGTCCAGGTGGTCCGGGTGGTCCTTGGTTTCCGGGTTGTCCAGGCTGTCCTGGGCCTTCATTCTGTCCAGGTGATCCCTGTGGTCCAGCTGGTCTTGAGCTCCGGGAGTTCCTGATCCACTGGTTCCGTCTTGTCCTGGGTTTCCTGGTGCTCCAACTCTCAAGTCATCGTTCCCTGTCGTACTTCAGTCTCCTCTTCATCGCTTCTTAAAACACCTACACTGGCCAACATACTGAATTTGATTAAGGTTATATCTCATCTGAACAAGTTCAAATGGCTAACTTATGCAATAAGCCACATGCAAGTAATCATTCTTGCGGGGTCAGGGAAATGATTAAGACATCTTAACCACCAAGTGTCCTTGAAAAGAATTTCCATAAAACTTCAAATGTTGCGCTATAAATCGAAAATACGCCATAGGACTAGATTGACCCAGGGCCCGGCACGAGCTTGTCAACTGACAAGCTGGAAATCGTTTTCGGCAAAAAAAGCAAAGGGGAAATCGTTTTTGAGGGATCCGAGGCGGAGCCCCGGAAAAAAAATTGGTAGTGCACGTTCTCTGCTTATTTTAACATGTTATGTGCCTCAACATGCGAAGACTGGAGTTCGCGCGCGTCAAACCGCGCCGTCGCTAATCGCCGCACGCGCGACGTCGCTCAAACGAGCTATTTGTAACGGCATACATGACTAGTTCTCAATGTACGCGTCACGGTATGACACCAGATTTTGTAGGCGAACGGAGAGAGGCTAGTGGAAACAAAGTATGAAAAATTATGAAAAACTTATGTGAACGGAAATTTTGGTTTCAAACCTCCTCCTCTCCCCATTGCTAGAGGCAAAAATAGCCTCAGCAGCCCCGTTTCCTAAGGAGGAAAGCGTGCTCCAATCAGTCGATGACGGCGTCTGAGTCCTATAATCGGCGTCGCTTTGACATTTCTTCATTTCTTATGGTCATTCACTTCGCTGTTATTTTCTCTTCGCTGTTATGTTTCCTCGTCTTCTTCTTCTCGTCAAAAATTTTTCCTGGGCAGATTCGTGTTTCCCTCTTATATTATGCAAAATGATTCCAGAATGGGAAACCTGCAGAGTCCACTCCTACTAGAGTCATAGAAGATGTGTGCTCTTATCTTTCTGCAAAGACTTTTGAAGGATTGAGAGGCAAAGTTACGATAGAATCCATGACGCAGTCAGATGGGTTTCATTTCGATGACCGAAGTGCAAGCGAGGAGTATTGTACCGTTGCTAGAGGTAAGCCATCGTAACACTGTCATCCTCTTATATTCTTCTGTTTGCAGGGTCGCGACATCTTGGCATCAGCCAAAACTGTCTCTGGAAAAACATCAGCGTTTTTGATCCCAGTCATGAGCTCTTGTTAAAGCTAGATTGGAAGCACTACAATGGGACAGGTGTCATAGTTGTCCGACGAGAGAGTTATCAATGCAAACCTATGGCGTGCTTACGGAGCTTTTAGAAGGTGAGGGTGATTTTTTTTAGGATTTTTCGTAACTCAATTGGTTTTTGATGAAACTGGTAAGATATTTCTACTGTAAGTTCTGAAGAAAGCGATAATTGTACTGATTTTCAAAATGCTATGAACATTCATGAAATTATCTAGAAGCATTGTTGTCATGAAACATAGCTGAGCGTTTGCATGCATTTGTTGTTTTTGATCTTATTTTATATGGACTGAAAAATGAGCCCTTATTTCTAGGGACTTCTCTCACGCACGGTTTGGTCATGGGTGGATCGAATTGAAGTGCTGAAGCTAAGATAAGCTGGCAAAGGTATGTGATGTTCAAACTCAGGGTTGCGATATTGCTTTTTTACTGTTAGAGAATTTATAAGAGTTAGCGTGAACATCCGTGAATTGATGAATTCTCCCTATATTTGACTGCCGAAAAAGTTTTGCATGATTTCAGGGAATGTCTGGTGGGTTATGGTATTAGGTTATGGGTTAGGCTGGTGGGTTATCTAGGTTATGATATTTTTCTCATCATGCAATTCCGTAAATTATCATCATGAGTTATTAAACTACATAGATATCCCGCGTATGTCTATACATGTAAGTTTTGCTTGTTCAAGCTTGGTACTTTTGGGTCATAATCCTTTATCTAGGGAAAACAAAAACAAGCAAAGCGGACGACAAGCTTCTTCCAGTTTTGTCAAGCAGAGACAGGAATTTCACTGTGTACTGATGTGGCAGCCAGGTAGTCTTGATATTCATTTTAATGTGGTTGTAAATCGTATTTCGCGTTGTTTTCCTTTTTTTAGAGGTCTTTGTATTCCTGCGGTAGACTGGATTGTACAGTATGATTTTACCAAATAAACCAAGAGAAAAAATCCATCGAGTGGGACGAACTGCCAGAGGGAAAGATGGGCGGTAAGACTTCTTCTGCGGTTATTTTTGTATAGATTTTTGTTCATCATCTAAAACATATCTATTGAAAAAATAAAGCGCACTTAATCAGTTGTTTATAGTGGAAACGCACTGCTAGTGCTACGACCTGTAGAGCTCGGGTTCTTGGGGTATTTGCGGGCTGCTAAAGTAGTCCTCAATGAATTTAGTTTTCTTGGTCAAAGGTATGTTTTAGTTCGTGTTCGTTTTTTTTACAAGTAACATTTCTGACTATTTGCAGATCGCCAATATTCAGTCTCAACTTGAAAACCTTATAGACAAGAACTATTATTTAAATAAAACAGCTAAAGGAGCTTACAAATGTTATGTGAGAGCGTATGACTCACATTCATCAAAGGTATGATTAGAAAGATAGTACATCAGCGAACTGGAAGTAATTCATAGTTTGCAGCATATCTTTGATGTGAACAATTTGGATTTAGTGGCGGTATGCAAATCATTTGGTTTTTCTGTGCCGCCGTTCAAGGATCTGCCAATATCACACAAGCCAAAGGTATGTTTAATTGTTCACTGATACTGTTATTGTACAAAAATTGTTTTGAGAATACAAATGTGTTTGGGCTGGTAGATCTGACGGTAAATATAGTGTTCCTGCGGTGCTGACGTTTGCCGACAAGGTTTGCGCGTGAACAAATTGCCAGTGAGCGCAAAACTTGGAAATGTTGGCTCTGCGGCCATTTTGCGCGCGCGATCGCGTATTACAGGCCCATCACTTGTTCACGAGCAAATGTTGTCGGCAAATGTCCGTATTGTAGAAGCACTATATTTAGGAGCAGTGTACCGTCAGAATCCACTACCTATACATCTACGTAAAGGCTTGTTCTGGAATAATTTGCAATTAAATGGCGCACGAAATAGACCTCGGTTT